CCCCGGCTCGGCAGGTACCGGCGCAGGAGGGGGCGGCTCTCCCCTCCCTTTCCTCGGTCCCGCAACGCAGCGCGGGGGGTCGGGGCCCTGCCTGCCGCTGCCCCATGAGGCAACGTGGCGCTGAGGCGCTTCCCTCCGGGGGCGGGGAGGTGGGCCCGGCGCGGTGCTGGAAGGGGTCGGGGACCCTGTGAGCCTCTCCCGGCCCAGGGTGCAGGGCCTTTTCCCCGGGGGCGACTCGCTGCCCTCGGGCGGAAGCACCGGCTCTTCGCCCGTTCCTTTCTCCCTTGAGGGCAGCGGCTGTAGCTGAGGTAGGTGTTTATGTTAACAAGGGTGGTAGCGTACAAAAACGAATCGAAGGATCTTCCTGCCCTATTCGCTGTTTAGTTGAGGAAGGTAAGAAAACTTACGTTCTATGCACGCTTCTGAAGTCGGGCTCGTTTCATTGTATGTCACTTGACAGTGGGCCTTATTCTTGATTTGGCCTCTAGGTGATACCATGATACAACAATCAGTATAGTCTGTATTCTCTGGTATATGAGGTGAGGTTTACCTATGTTGTTAAATTGATTCAAGAATACAGTAAGCTGATAAAATGTATTGCGTGTAGAGGCATCACTTTAAGTGGTCCTGGTTGGTGCCCTGATACCTGTAAATGCAGAGAAGTATTGTATGGTTTTTTAATATGACATCTTGCCTATATGTACAAGATTGTTACATAAACATCTTGTGGCAAGATGTCATACAAAGTGGTCCTGCCACCAGCCGGGACCACTTAAAGTGATGCTTCTAGGTGCAGTACATTTTACCAGCTTAGTGTACTCTTGAATCAAGAGAGAAATGAAAAGGTATACAGCATCGAGGTGTATATAACATCTGAAATCAAGATATTTATATAACATCTTGTAACTTTATCTCTTCTGCAATTTTTTGTAACTCTTTAAAACATTTACATCTCTCGGCCTCTTCTCCAGTCATGTCACATCTTCTCCCTGATGCGGTTATGTTCTGCAAGATACAATTTTGTCAGCTCCTGCAAATGGAGCTGAGCAAGGCAATGTACGTATTTCCATGGGACAAATCCTCAAAGATGGTTCGGTAAGCGGCACTCCTGTGTCCAACTGGCCCCACATTCTGGAAGGGTTTTCTTTCAGAGAAATCTAATGCCCAGTGCTTTTAACCAACGATGTGTATCTTCCTCATTTTGACTATTTCTTAGCATTTTTCTGGTAGGTAAAAAAGAGGTTAGGGTAGTGGTATACTTCTGTACATAGATCTTTAAGAACCCCTAAGGCACAAGTTTTCAAACCCATGTTCAGTGCTAATCTACAGATATTCTTCAAACAGCAGAATCACGTAATCCTTTACTCATTCTTTTACATGTAGTTCATTGGTTTTAACGTTAAGAAAGAAGCTTGAGATCCCATCTTGTAGTTTTTTTTTTTTCTTAATATGATTCAGAATCCTACTTCTGCCATATTAGTCACATTTTAGGATAGACAAATCTGGTCTCCTCTAAATTCCTCTTGGAAAGCCTGTTCTTGTTCATGGCACACTGCTGTTCTCTCCTGATGGTGCTCAACTTCTTGTTGAGTATTTGTATAGTACTTTGATTATACAAAGTGAAACAAAGCTTTCAGAGCCAAGCTATATCAGCTTTTTTATATATTTGTGTGGGGGAGAATGATCATACACCAGTGACACCTAGGTTGGGGTTAACCTCAAGAAAGCAGTTGAAATTTTTAGTATGTTGAGAGTTAAAATGCTGGCTGCTTATGCACGCTAGTATTTCTGATTTAGCCTGCCCTTATGCTGTCAGCAATGGTGGGAAATTTCTTTTAGAATTTTTTGAATGTACCAGTAGAAGAATGGGTACAGTAGGGTCAGTACACACAATTACTTGTTTTTCATCTCAATTTGACAAGGTCTGTCGCAAAATGCTGTTATGAGAACTATATAGTCATGGGGTGACAGGGGAGGCATTACTGTGGATCAGAAACCTGTTTTCTGTCTCAGATGAGGAAAGGGACAAAAAGTTTGAGTTTTCTTAATGATTTGGAAAAAGGGAGGAGGAGGGGAGGGAGGAGGCAATATCTGTAGCTGGCACAAAATTATTTCGGGTTATAAAAACAAGAAATAAGCATCAAGGAACTTAATTAAGCTAGAATCATAGAATCATTAAGGTTGGAAGAGACCTCTAAGATCATCGAGTCCAACCGTCAACCCATGTCCCTAGACACCTCATCTACACGTCTTTTAAATACTTCCAGGGATGGGGACTCAACCACTTCCCTGGGCAGCCTGTTCCAATGTTTAACCACTCTTTCAGTGAAGAAATTTTTCCT